ACAACCCCGCCCCGAAAAAACAAACAAACAAACAAACAAAACAAACAAACAAAAGCCTACCAAAGTTAGCAAAACCACCTTCTGTATAATTAAACTATCTTTACTGATTGGGTCGTTTTCTTCTACTTAATTTTCTACTCGATTACTAGGATGTTATTGTATTGGAATTGGTTAAGAATTATAGGGAAGTTTGTGACGCTGAAAAATTGGATGATGAAACTGGCTGCGTACAAACGTGGAATAAAGTCACTCGGTATTAGTTCTGTCGGTTTCGAGTTGGATCTCCAGGAAGACATGAGCAGAATTTTCATATGTCATTATTTCTTTTCTTAAAAAAAAAAATTCTTCAGTGTTTCCCGTCTTACAGCTGGAATGCTGTATTCTTCTAAGCCCAGGTTGGCCTTGATGTTAACAAAAAATTATGTCAATGGGGGCGAAAACATTCGCAACCTAAAGCCAAACACTGTGGGGGATTGGCTGGCGTTCTGGTATAGGTATGGTTTGCTTTCATTTTCCCATCAAACTTATCTATCGTCCGTGTCTCTCCTCCTTTTGCTTGTACGTCACTCTCTAGTGACACCTCTAATCTTTGGCATTTATATAACCTAATTGTGTTGCAAGAGCCGTAAAACTCTTACTAAAAACTAAAGTAATTCATACACTGAGTGCTGCAGCCTGTTACAAAACCGAAACAAGACAATTGTCTCCATAACAACAATAGCAAAAACAACATAGGTCAAACACAACTCTGTGAGTCATTGGAGGGTGTTTAGTAGGTCTGACTTCTTTTCTGTTTTTCTGTTGTTTCTGTCTGTCAGTCTGTCTTACTCATTCCATGCACTAAATAACCTTTATTGCATTTGTGCATTTTGTTGTTTTTGAAAGTGTATGTGTTTTTACATCATCATCGGTCATCGACACAATTTAGATCATTTTGGACGCGGGTTTCTAACTCTGCCTGACACAACCAAAGTCGGGTGAAAGGGATACAGCCTGCTGGCAGAAAGACCAAGATACATGTGCATAAATTATGTGCTTGATAAAATTCTCCCCCACTTGGGAATCGAACTCGGGTCTCTTTCTCCTGCGACTGCAGCTAAGCGCCTAACCACCACACCACAGACGCCGGTCTGTGTAACAGGGAAGTATCTATTCGGAGACGTCTCCGAACATCTTCTGCCATATCAGAGTGCTCCTCTTTTCAAAAAGAACAAACAAAAAACGACTCTGTTCTAACATTACAAAAAGTCTACTCACCATCAGCGTGAAATCTGAAGGTCCGACCCCCAGGATAATCACAGACATGGGCAAACGACTGGCGTCCACCAGTTTTTTCACGACCAAGTCCATATCGTTGATGATACCGTCCTGAAACACAGAACAGCCACAGGCATATTTCGTTAGAACGGAAGAGATTTTTGTCTGTTTGTTTTCACACATTTAGACATAACTGATTTATGCGCACGCGCGCGCGTGTGTATGTGTGTATGTGTGTGTGTGTGTGTGTGTGT